CCCACCTCTGTACCGCCACCCACCTCTGTACTGCCACCCATCTCTGTACCGCCACCCACCTCTGTACCGCCACCCACCTCTGTACCGCCACCCACCTCTGTACCGCCACCCACCTCTGTACTGCCACCCACCTCTGTACCGCCACCCACCTCTGTACCGCCACCCACCTCTGTACCGCCACCCACCTCTGTACCGCCACCCACCTCTGTACCGCCACCCACCTCTCCCCCACCCACTCTCATCAGAAAATGTTAAAACATTCTTTTTAATTCATTTTGTCGAGGACAGGTAGCCTGTGTATGTATGTACTTTAGGTTTATATTGAGGGGTCCTCCCCCACCCCCACCCCCCACAAGGTCGAACATCTGACCCTCCCAACGCCCAACCACTTGGGCTGGACGGTAGAGCGACGGTCTCACTACATGCAGGTCGGCGTTCAATCCCCGACCGTCCAAGTGGTTGGGCACCATTCCTCACCCCCCCCCCCCCCCGTCCCATCCCTAATCCTTATCCTGACCCCTTTCCAGTGCCATAAAGTCGTAATGGCTTGGCGCTTTCCCCTGATAACTAAAAACAAAACTGACCCTCCCCAGCATGGAACCCCCCAACAAGCTGACCAACTCCTGGGTACCTATTTACTGCTAGGTGAACCGCAGCATTAGGTGATACGAAACGTGCCCAACCACTTCTGTCTCGCTCGGAATTTGAACCCGGAGTTCCCTAAATTGAGTGGAGAGGGAGCACAGCTGTACTACCGAGGCCATACGATGGGATCGAACACCCATCCCTGGCCCCAAGAATTTGTTAACAGATACATCACTGTGATTTCATGGTTCATCTTCGCCTATCATATGAATGCCCAGGTCATTGTGAGGAGAAAGCGCTAAGCCAGTATGACTATATGGCACTTGGAAGGGGCATGAGGGAAAGGGTCTGGGACAGAAGGAGTGAAGTGTCAGTGCCCAGCCAATTGGGCCATCGGAGATCGAACTCAGACCTACAAGATTAAAGGCCGATCAAGTGATTCTTGATTTGCAGCTCAACACCAGGCTAGTAGTCCTTGAGAACTGGTTCAAGGAGCAAAATCTCATAATACTGCAGAAATAATGACTCACGGGTTCTCTGACTCTGTGGCGCGGGTTCGATTCTCGCACGAGGCAGAAACAAATGGGCAAAGTTTCTTTCACCCTGAATGCCCCTGTTACCTAGCAGTAAATAGGTACCTGGGAGTTAGTCAGCTGTCACGGGCTGCTTCCTGGGGGTGGAGGCCTGGTCGAGGACCGGGCCGCGGGGACACTAAATCCCCGAAATCATCTCAAGATAACCTCAAGATAACGGGGACATCATCAAAACTTAGAAGACACCTAAAGGGGACATGATAAAAAAAAATATAGGATAATTTTATATCACGGTAAATCCACCTCTCCTTTATACCAGGGGAAATAAACCTCACTGTTATACCATGGGGAAAGCCACCTGGCCATTATACCAGGGTAAATCAACACGGGGACACAGGTGGAGACTGAGTAACCAAATGAGCCACAGGGACGTCAGAAAGAACTTTTTCAGTGTCAGAGTAGTTGATAGGTGGAATGCATTAGGCAGTGATGTGGTGGAGGCTGACTCCATATATAGTTCATATGTAGATATGACAGAGCCCAATAGGCTTAGGAACTTGTACAGCAGTCGATCGACAGCTAAGAGACGGGACCAAAGAGCCGAAGCTCAACCCCCCGCAAGCACAACTAGGTGAGTATTAGTTTATGATTACTAGTCAATGTCACTCATTCATATCCCACTAGTTCATCGTCACTTGTTCATGATTAAACTAGTGGTCTCCACCGTTCATGGTCACTAGTTCATGATTATATATACCTGTTCAAGATCAATAATTAATCATCACTTGTTTATGTGGGGACATAGGCTCCAGTGACCCGGTGGTCCAGTATAGTGAGGTGCCGTGGCCTCCAGTGACCCGGTGGTCCAGTATAGTGAGGTGCCGTGGCCTCCAGTGACCCGGTGGTCCAGTATAGTGAGGTGCCGTGGCCTCCAGTGACCCGGTGGTCCAGTATAGTGAGGTGCCGTGGCCTCCAGTGACCCGGTGGTCCAGTACAGTGAGGTGCCGTGGCCTCCAGTGACCCGGTGGTCCAGTATAGTGAGGTGCCGTGGCCTCCAGTGACCCGGTGGTCCAGTACAGTGAGGTGCCGTGGCCTCCAGTGACCCGGTGGTCCAGTACAGTGAGGTGCCGTGGCCTCCAGTGACCCGGTGGTCCAGTATAGTGAGGTGCCGTGGCCTCCAGTGACCCGGTGGTCCAGTACAGTGAGGTGCCGTGGCCTCCAGTGACCCGGTGGTCCAGTATAGTGAGGTGCCGTGGCCTCCAGTGACCCGGTGGTCCAGTATAGTGAGGTGCCGTGGCCTCCAGTGACCCGGTGGTCCAGTACAGTGAGGTGCCGTGGCCTCCAGTGACCCGGTGGTCCAGTATAGTGAGGTGCCGTGGCCTCCAGTGACCCGGTGGTCCAGTATAGTGAGGTGCCGTGGCCTCCAGTGACCCGGTGGTCCAGTATAGTGAGGTGCCGTGGCCTCCAGTGACCCGGTGGTCCAGTATAGTGAGGTGCCGTGGCCTCCAGTGACCCGGTGGTCCAGTATAGTGAGGTGCCGTGGCCTCCAGTGACCCGGTGGTCCAGTATAGTGAGGTGCCGTGGCCTCCAGTGACCCGGTGGTCCAGTATAGTGAGGTGCCGTGGCCTCCAGTGACCCGGTGGTCCAGTATAGTGAGGTGCCGTGGCCTCCAGTGACCCGGTGGTCCAGTATAGTGAGGTGCCGTGGCCTCCAGTGACCCGGTGGTCCAGTATAGTGAGGTGCCGTGGCCTCCAGTGACCCGGTGGTTCAGTATAGTGAGGTGCCGTGGCCCCCAGTGACCCGGTGGTCCAGTATAGTGAGGTGCCGTGGCCTCCAGTGACCCGGTGGTCCAGTATAGTGAGGTGCCGTGGCCTCCAGTGACCCGGTGGTCCAGTATAGTGAGGTGCCGTGGCCTCCAGTGACCCGGTGGTTCAGTATAGTGAGGTGCCGTGGCCCCCAGTGACCCGGTGGTCCAGTATAGTGAGGTACCGTGGCCTCCAGTGACCCGGTGGTCCAGTATAGTGAGGTGCCGTGGCCTCCAGTGACCCGGTGGTCCAGTATAGTGAGGTGCCGTGGCCTCCAGTGACCCGGTGGTCCAGTATAGTGAGGTGCCGTGGCCTCCAGTGACCCGGTGGTCCAGTATAGTGAGGTACCGTGGCCTCCAGTGACCCGGTGGTCCAGTATAGTGAGGTGCCGTGGCCTCCAGTGACCCGGTGGTCCAGTATAGTGAGGTGCCGTGGCCTCCAGTGACCCGGTGGTCCAGTATAGTGAGGTGCCGTGGTCTCCAGTGACCCGGTGGTCCAGTATAGTGAGGTGCCGTGGCCTCCAGTGACCCGGTGGTCCAGTATAGTGAGGTGCCGTGGCCTCCAGTGACCCGGTGGTCCAGTATAGTGAGGTGCCGTGGTCTCCAGTGACCCGGTGGTCCAGTATAGTGAGGTGCCGTGGCCTCCAGTGACCCGGTGGTCCAGTATAGTGAGGTGCCGTGGCCTCCAGTGACCCGGTGGTCCAGTATAGTGAGGTGCCGTGGCCTCCAGTGACCCGGTGGTCCAGTATAGTGAGGTGCCGTGGCCTCCAGTGACCCGGTGGTCCAGTATAGTGAGGTGCCGTGGCCTCCAGTGACCCGGTGGTCCAGTATAGTGAGGTGCCGTGGCCGTGACCCGGTGGTCCAGTTTGACCCCTGTGGTGCCGGTGCCTCCAGTGACCCGGTGGTCCAGTATAGTGAGGTGCCGTGGCCTCCAGTGACCCGGTGGTCCAGTATAGTGAGGTGCCGTGGCCTCCAGTGACCCGGTGGTCCAGTATAGTGAGGTGCCGTGGTCTCCAGTGACCCGGTGGTCCAGTATAGTAGTGAGGTGCCGTGGCCTCCAGTGACCCGGTGGTCCAGTATAGTGAGGTGCCGTGGCCTCCAGTGACCCGGTGGTCCAGTATAGTGAGGTGCCGTGGTCTCCAGTGACCCGGTGGTCCAGTATAGTGAGGTGCCGTGGCCTCCAGTGACCCGGTGGTCCAGTATAGTGAGGTGCCGTGGTCTCCAGTGACCCGGTGGTCCAGTATAGTGAGGTACCGTGGCCTCCAGTGACCCGGTGGTCCAGTATAGTGAGGTGCCGTGGCCTCCAGTGACCCGGTGGTCCAGTATAGTGAGGTGCCGTGGCCTCCAGTGACCCGGTGGTCCAGTATAGTGAGGTGCCGTGGCCTCCAGTGACCCGGTGGTCCAGTATAGTGAGGTGCCGTGGCCTCCAGTGACCCGGTGGTCCAGTATAGTGAGGTGCCGTGGCCTCCAGTGACCCGGTGGTCCAGTATAGTGAGGTGCCGTGGCCTCCAGTGACCCGGTGGTCCAGTATAGTGAGGTGCCGTGGCCTCCAGTGACCCGGTGGTCCAGTATAGCGAGGTACCGTGGCCTCCAGTGACCCGGTGGTCCAGTATAGTGAGGTGCCGTGGCCCCCAGTGACCCGGTGGTCCAGTATAGTGAGGTACCGTACCGATAAGAGGCAGGAAACACCTGCAAAAGATATTTTTTCTTAAGGATTTTGTCCAAGCACCAAGCCATTACGACTATATAGCACTTGAAAGGGATCAGGATAAGCAAAAGACAAATACCACCAACATGGCCTTTCTTGACTAAAATACCATCTTACACCAGCTTAAACACCATACGAATACTTGACTTGCACTAGGAATATACCTCGCAAGTGCAGGTGTTATGGACCACGTATGATCGTAGAAGAACAAATCTACGTGCACGATTTGCTTGAACAAGAAACTGCGCACTATAAAGAACAGTCATGTGCTAAGTGGCGCGATAGTGGTATTCCTATCTTGCGGCGCTGTTATCTTTTATCAGGATGTGGTGACGTTACCCAGGATGTGAGGGGCTGGGGCCTGCCCGTACACCAGTTGCTCCTCACTAGCTGGCTATAGTGTGTGTGTTTACCCTGCGGCCTGAGGTGAGTTCTTCATCCCAGCACAGTGACAGGCGGCGGGACGCACACCATCATACTCCACTCACCTACCTGCATCATTACGATCATTCACTGGTGTGTGACAAGATATAACTTTTATATTTGACGCTGAATGAATTCCATGCCTGGAGAGGGTTCCGGGAGTTGTTCTGCTCCCTAAGCCCGGCTCGAGGCCAGGCTTGACTTGTGATACCTTGGTCCAACAGGCTGTTGCTTGGAGCGGCCCGAGGGCCCACATATCAACTACAACCAGAATGTCCGGCACTTCTTGCAAGAACTTTTCTAAATGCTTCTTGAAGACTTCCACCTTTGTTTCGGCAATATTTCTAATGCTTGTTGGGAGGGTGTTGAACAGCCATGGACCTCTGATGTTCAGACAGTGTTCTCTGATTGTGCCCATAGCACCTCTACTCCTTACTGATTCTATTCTACATTTCCTCCCATATCTTTCGCTCCAGTGTGTTGTTATTCTACAGTGCAAATTTGGGGCCTGGCCTTCCAGTATCTTCCATGTATATATTATTTGATACCTCTCTTGTCTCCTTTCCAGAGAGTACATTTTTATATCTTTGAAACGGTCCCAATAATTTTGATGTTTTATCGTGTATATGCATGCCGTATATGTTCTCTGTATTCTTCTTTTTCAGAAATATCTCCTGCTGTGAAAGGGAAAGTGAGTACCGAGCAGTACTCAAGACAGGGACAGGGACATTAGATAGACTCTAATGCTCTGGACGGGACTCAGAGCATGCATTACAGGGGCAACTTTAGGTGTGCACCATGTTACTGGATCATAGGTTCCTTACGTTATTGTAATTTATTTTTGCATGTTGTTGTTTTTTATTTAGCTACTTAAAACGAAATGCCCATGTAGCACGGGCTATAGTGAGCCCGTAATTGAGTCCGGTTATTCACGATAACCTTGTTACTGTGATATATATGTCAAAGCTTTAAATGGAAGTGGAGTTTCCTCCTTTCTCCCGTTTCTTTTCCGCTTCTATTTTAGCGCACTGGTTTTAGTCTTGTTTTAATAACATCATTGACGGATATAGTTGCACAGTGTTCACTAGTGTGTGTCCCATTTTTCAACTGCTTTTCTAACCATTGTATTTGCTTTGTATTTTGCATCTAATGCAGCTGCTCTCTTTGGATGAATGTTGAGTTTGATGTGCAAGGCTTCGGTTACTTCACATTCCAGTAAGTAATGTAATAGTGGCGCCTCTGCATCTAGCTGTTCCACAGATATGACACTCTTTTTAACTATTGGGTTTATTACCTCCCAGCAGCACTTGTAACCAAGTCTGAGTCTGTGTATAGCTACTGTAATGTCTCTGGATATCTTGTCCAGTTAACGTCTCTCTAGCTCGCTCAGGATATACTCAGAGGTACTAGAACTGTGATACTACTTAGTTATATAGTTTAGTGACAAAAACACTAAAGTCTTTTTAGTGAGCAGTATAAAGTGAATTGAATTCAAGTGAAAGCTGTTTAGCAATTATGACTTTACAAAATGAGAATCTATACGAAAAGAACTACACGTTGGCCCACTATGTCCCCCCAGGAAATGACTCTCCTGACCATCCTTCAGAAATTATTAAGGTCAGAAGGACACAGTAATCTCGTGGAAAGAGCAAGACAAATGGCTGATGACAGGAATAGTGAACCAGAGGATAACCCCATTCCCAATGAGCCCCTTTGGCAAATAGCAGGAAATGGAAAAACAAATAAAGAAAAGAGAACCAAAGAAATGCCCGAAGAAATCAATTTAGAATCTAATCAGAACCCAAGGACAGCCCCTAAACCAATGCCAAAGACCATCTTCAAAACTAAAATGACAGCAGATGGTCCCACTTACGCCTACATTGCCACACTGGAAAAAGGTCACCCAGGATCAGATCTCAGAGCCAAAACTGACATTAGAGGCAGATATAACATATCCACAACTAACCCAAACATAATTGCCAACCTCAGGAATAAGGAATACTTAGTTGAACTAAAACCGAAGGTAAAAGTCACCAAGATGATAGTACAACATTTCCCGGTTGAAGTAAATGTAAACAAGCTCTTAGAATGTCCCAAGGTCATAACAGCACATAGGTGCAAGCACGACAACGCTGAAACAAGACAGGTGCTTGTAACAATAAAAGGACCTCGCATCAACACTCTGAATATAGGGATCTACGGACAATTCAAGCTAAGGCTATTCAAGAGCCCATGTGCTGTTACAGATGTCAGCACTTCGGCCACCATAAAGATGCCTGCAGATGCCTGGAACGATCAGTATGCAGCGAGCTACACAACACTGATATATGCACAAATCTGCATAAAGGAGGCAAACCAACAAATGCAAAATGACCAAACTGCGGGGATAAACACGTATGGAACGAACGATGTTCAGAAAGGGTCAAAAGAATCCAAGCCTTTGGCTCTACCCAGCAACCCGGAACCACAAATCCAAGACAACAAACTACCAGACACTCAGTTATTTTTGCATATAACCTTAAGTTTATAAATCTGGCAGAGCGCCTCACTTGGCGTCCATCATTGGACGTCTTTGTGATTATGTTTGCCAGTGGATGCCAAAACGTCAGATGATATTTTATTTGATTGTTGCCGCCGGAGGCAGCTAGTTTATTGTGCACCCCATACTCATCTTGTGAGCGGTAGCGCAAAAAGCATTACAGAGGAACAAAAGGTCTTTATCAGACCTCAACGGGGATTATTACATAAACAATTTCATCTATCCTTCACACCTTATAATTACAATGTCAGCTAGTTACAGAGAATGTTCTATTTCCAAGAGCTATATATTAACAGTAAGTCATTACACGTACATGGGAGGTCTTATCGCTAATACACAATAGTTTGAGCAGTGGAGATATTACAGAGTCATTGGGGAGCTGCTGTTTATTATTAGTCTTCACAATACACTACTTGTTTCTTAATTTCATATGTCGTTTATCTACTGGAAGCGAGACGTTATGATTATAATGAAATAATCAAGCCCCATCCATTAGGTGTACAACGGAGCTTAAACTAGACAACTCTTTACCATTCGTAGATGTGATCATTTATAAATAAAAATACTGGGAGCGAAATATGGATACAGTGCAAGGATTTCAGATATTTTATCCTTTGGTAATAAAATAGGTTGCCATATCATACAGCGTGAGCTTAGATTTCTCTAAATGGTTCAATTTTGCTACAATCCAAAATATTATGTTCGAGTGTGTGTTCCTGTTTTTGTCCACACAATTTACACTTTACTTCATCTAGATCCCTATACAAGCCGAACTGCCAGAGATAATTGTAGCCAAGTCTTATTTGAGCTGTGACAACATCTGTTAGTCTGCTGACTTTGTTACTTGCCCCATACACATGTTTTACTTCACACATTTCATTGTGATAAACAATGGACTTGCTAGTTCCAATTTGCACTGTTTTACTTTCTTCAAATTCATCCAGGAGTTCTCGTCTAATGACACTTTTAAGGGACCTATTTGATAACTCAAGATTCCGTTCAATACTGTCTTTATTTACTGCAGCCTTAGCAAGGGCGTCAACTTTATCATGTTCCTGCAGGCCAATGTGAGAAGGAATCCACAACATATTTATATTTACCCCATTGCTAAGTATGCTTATATATCTATGTCTGGCTTCCAAGACAAGCACGTTATTACTTGATTGCAAACTGTTTATTGCTCGTAGTGAGGAAAGGGAGTCGGAAATAATTAAGCTGTCTACTTCAGTGTTGTCAATGATCAAATGTCCTGGTTTCTGGGAACTGTTGCCAGGGTTCCGTGGGAACATTATCCCCAATCCGAACACCACAAGGTCTGTGCTTATATGAATTAATGAAATAAGTACATTTAGCTTCATAAAGAATATCGTTACGGTTAATTGGATCTATTAGTAGATCAGATTATGCCATGGGACCCTGACCAAAGTTCCCAGAAACCAGGAGTTTGATCATTCATCTTTAGTTTCGGCATCTATTGGGGAGTCCCCGGCGAGCAAAATCACAACAGCGTCCAATGATGGACGCCAAGTGGGGCGCTCTGCTAGACATATAAACGCAAGCTTCTAGAACCTTGCCACACTCATCGCACATCTGTGCCAGGTGAGTACGACGGGCTCACCACAGCCAGTGCTCCTTGGAACTTTTTGTTCCCACTAGCTGAATCTAAAACAACAATCTTGTTCAGAACATTGTAAACAGCACCTTGTGAAAAAGGATGTAGGTCACATCCGAAAATTTGGATTTTAATACACTTACACATAGATTGGATCTTCATCTTCATTGTTATAGTAAAATATATATTGGGTATGCACAAATAAATTACAACGTGATGAATCTATGGTCCAGTAACATGATGGAGACCTAAAATTCCCCTCTAATGCGCTGGAGTTTACCTGATGAGGGTTTCGGAAGTTCTTCTACTACCCAAGACCGGCCTGAGTTGTAAATATTGTTTATCACTGTTTCCCCCTAGTGTAACAGATGATGGGAAGATGGAGGAGGTGTTGTGCTGCGGGGTGTGCTCGGAGGAGTACAGTGGCGGCGCCCGGGACCCGGTGACGCTGCCCTGCGGCCACACCTTCTGCCGCCCCTGCCTCCACACCCTGGAGAAGACCAACGGCGTGGCCTGCCCCGCCTGCCGCAAGACTCACTCCGCCGTCACCGTCGCCTGCCTCCCTCCCAGCTACACCATACTCAACCTCCTCGATAACTACACCCCTTCCCAGGTGACTGATTTGCTTCATTATTATGCACCCCATTTTCAGTTCAATTCTTTGTTATGCACCCCATCCCATGGGCAGTGGTGGAAAGGGTTACAGAGGCACATAATCGGCTCAGGAACTGAAATCCATAGTTCGATTAGCTAAGCAAGGGACAATCTCACCCTCATACCCATCCCTTGGGCAGTAGTGGACCCCATACCCATCCCATGGGCAGTAGTGTACCCCATACCAATCCCGTGTGCGGTTGCGGGCCCCATACAAATCCGGTGGGCGATATTGAAAAAGGTTAAAGAGATACAGTACATTTGGGACAGAAAATGACCCTCAAAAATCCTTTAGCTAAGCAAATTACAGTCTGAATTTGCTAGTTACACACACACACACACACACACACACACACACACAAACACACACACAAACAAACACACACACACACACACACACACACACACACACACACACACACACACACATATATATATATATATATAAATATATATATATATATATGTATATATATATATATATTTATATATATATATATATTTATATATATATATATATACATATATATATATATATATATATATATTATATATATATATATATATATATATATATATATATATATATATATATATATATATAGCTTTATTATGCATTTGATGGTTACAAGATATACATGGGTTGATACAAAAATAATAATGCAAAAAGGTGCTTAAAGGTTATGGATCTCTTGAAGAACACAACAATGGGAAACATTGATGAATATATATATATATATATATATATATATATATATATATATATATATATATATATATATATATGTCGTACCTAGTAGCCAGAACGCACTTCTCAGCCTACTATACAAGGCCCGATTTGCCTAATAAGCCAAGTTTTCCTGAATTAATATATTTTCTCTAATTTTTTGCTTATGAAATGATAAAGCTACCCATTTCATTATGTATGAGGTCAATTTTTTTTTATTGGAGTTAAAATTAACTTAGATATATGACCGAACCTAACCAACCCTACCTAACCTAACCTAACCTATCTTTATAGGTTAGGTTAGGTACCCGAAAAAGTTAGGTTAGGTTAGGTTAGGTAGGTTAGGTAGTCGAAAAACAATTAATTCATGAAAACTTGGCCTATTAGGCAAATCGGGCCTTGCATAGTAGGCTGAGAAGTGCGTTCTGGCTACTAGGTACGACATATATATATATATATATATATATATATATATATATATATATATATATATATATATATATATGTATATATATAAATATATATATATATAAATATATATATATATATAAATATATATATATATAAATATATATATATATAAATATATATATATAAATATATATATATATATATATATATATATATAAATATATATATATATATATATATATATATATATATATATATATATATATATATATATATATATATATATATATATATATATAGTGGAACCTCGGTTGATGAATGCCCTTCTTTACGAATTTTTCGGTTTACGAGCTCAATTTCTTTGTAAAATTTGACTCGGTATAGGAGCTTTGCCTCGCTTGGCGGGTTTGTTGATACATGTGTGGGTCGACCGAGCGAGTGGTTCCTGGTGGCAAGGGCGAGGCGTGAAGAATTCTTTGTGAAGAATTTAATTGTTTTTGTGCTTTTTTTGTTTCTGAACATACAAGTAATTGTCATATATCACTCTATGGGGTCCCAAGAAAGTCAGTCATCATGTTCAACCTTAAAATCATTATAACATCACTGCCTGATGTTATAATGGCACTCCCCTTCCAAACACTAACACCTCTTCACCTCCCCTCCCCCCCTACTCACCATCTTCCAAATCCCAACAAAAGTCCTCATTAAAGGTAAAATATACTTGTATATATTGTAGTACAAAATATAAGTAGTAGTATGTATAAAATGTATTTTTAAGTTAATATTTTAAGGGGTGTGGAATGGATTAATTCAATTTACATTATTTCTCATGGGAAAATTCGTTTCGGTTTACGAACCGTCTCTGGGAACGGATTAAATTCATAAACGAAGGTACCACTGTATATTGTTGCATTAAGTGAGGTACTGCTGTTATACGCAGCTGATGGTTTGTTTTATGTAACAAAAAAATTAAAACTTCGATGTGAATATAGGGAACAGGTGTAAAGTCAAAAGCCAAAGTTAAATTTAATAAAAGAAAATAAAAGTTACCTTCTCACCTGCAATACAACTTTGTACATATAGTTTATAAGCCAAGATAAAATAAAAGCAAGAACACAAATTTCAACTCAACGACCCGGACACTGACAACGACATAGTGTAAGTGTTCAGTGCTATAAGATACAATACCACCACTCTTAATGAGCAGCCATGGCAATTGACCAATTGACCAAGCTGTAGATGTTATCCAAGTCGAGCGTCTCCCCCCCCCCCTCAGCTGACCTACTACTGTTTACAACCTGTCCTCGGGGAAGAGATCCCATCAAGGAAATAGTTTGGTAATGACTACATAATTTGTCCTAATATTTATACTTCTCCCCCGAATCAACCTACCCTGGCTTTGCGCCCTGGTGAGACCACTCCAGACCAGGCCGACACTAGAGTGCAACTCCATAGTCTCCTGAGACTGATGGATGCCTACTACTACTACTATCCACGGTTAGGTTAAAGTTACTTTAGGTTAGGTTCCATTACGTTTACCGTGTGTTTACTTTGTGAGGGTTGCAGGTTGATGAGTGCAGCGCCCACGGGGAGCCGCTGGGGTACTGGTGTCGAGAGTGTGGGAGCCTGGCGTGTGGCCTCTGTATCTACAACTCTCACCGGCAGGGCCAACACGACATCGTCTCCTCCAAGGTCGTCCTCCAGGAGAAGAAGCACTGGTTGCAAGAGGAAACCAACAAACTTAGCAAAGTGATAGAAACACATCTAATGAGCAGTGTAAGACAATCGGTAGTTGATCTGCTGCGGTTGTTGCATAGAAGCACCAAAGCTGCCGCCATTAAGGAAGAAGCAACCTCGAACGCCTCACTATTGGAGAAGACTATTAGCATGGAAACGCTGCTGGTTTGCGAGGGCAAACACCAGAGTCTTGTGAACGCCTGGCGAGATGCTGGTCTGCAGAAAGGGCCGTTTGCATCTTCAGAAGCCCAGCAAGCCATAAACCTCTCTACCCAGTTCCCTGAAGACCCCACAGCCAATCCCGCCATTGTTTCCCCCCTGATATGTTGCGTCCAGTACGCCGAGGACCGCTGGGGGAGGTTATCGTGGAGCGGCAACGACCTCCTCCTATCCTCATTTTCTAGCCAGAACCTGCAGCCTCACTTCACACTAAATGTAAGAAGGCAAACATTGCCCGTGTGTGTGTGTGTACTCACCTAGTTGTGTTTGCGGGGGTTGAGCTCTGGCTCTTTGGTCCCGCCTCCCGGTCCTGTGTGTGTGTGTGTGTGTGTGTGTGTGTGTGTGTGTGTGTGTGTGGGTGTGTGGGTGTGTGTGTGTGTGTGGTGTGTGTGTGTGAGTGTGTGTGTGTGTGTGTGTGTGTGTGTGTGTGTGTGTGTGTGTGTGTGTGTGTGTGTGTGTGTGTGTGTGTGTGTGTGTGTGTGGTGTGTGGTGTGTGTGTGTGTGTGTGTGTGTGTGTGTGTGTGTGTGTGTGTGTGTGTGTGTGTGTGTGTGTGTGTGTGTGTGTGTGTGTGTGTGTGTGTGTGTGTGTGTGTGTGTGTGTGTGTGTGTGTGTGTGTGTGTGTGTGTGTGTGTGTGTGTGTGTGTGTGTGTGTGTGTGTGTGTGTGTGTGTGTGTGTGTGTGTGTGTGTATTCACCTAGTTGTGTTTGCGGGAGTTGAGCTCTGCTCTTTTGGCTCGTCTCTCAACTGTCAATCCATCAACTGTTACTAATTACTATTTTTTTCTTGTCACACACACACACAGGAAGTAGCCCGTAACAGCTGTCTAACTCCCAGGTACTTATTTATTGCTAGGTAACAGGGGCATCAGGGAGAAAGAAACTCTGCCCATTGTTTCTCGCCGGCACCGCGAATCGAACCCCGGACCACAGGATTACGTGTCCAGCGTGTTGTCCATTCAGCCTCCAGCCGACCAGTGTGTGTGTGTGTGTGTGTACTCGTCTAGTTGTGCTTGCGGAAGTTGAGCTCTGGCTCTTTGGTCCCGCCTCTTGACTGTCAATCAACTGGTGTAGATTCCTGAGAATACTGGGCTCTATCATATCTACATTTGCAACTGTGTATGGAGTCAGCCTCCACCACATCACTACTTAATGCATTCCATTTGTTAACTACTCTGACACTGAAAAAATTCTTCCTAATGTCTCTGTGGCTCATCTGAGTACTAAATTTCTATCTGTGCCCCCTTGTTCGTGTCCCACCCGTGCTAAAGAGTTTGTCTTTGTCCACCCTGTTAATTCCCCTGAAAATTTTGTAGGTGGTTATCATGTCTTCCCTTACTCTTCTGTAAGTGCAGTCTGGTGGCATACCTCTGAATCTTCTCTTAACTTCGTCTTGTGTTTAACTAGGTATGGACTTCAGGCTGGAGCTGCATACTCCAGGATTGATCTGACATAAGTGGTATACAGGGTCCTGAACGATTCCTTACACAAGTTACTAAAGGCAGTTCTTATGTTGGCCAGTCTAGCATATGCCGCTGATGACATTCTTTTGATATGGGCCTCTGGGGACAGGTTCGGTGTGATATCAACCCCCAGATCTTTCTCTCTATTTGACTCTTGCAGGATATCACCTCCCAGATGCTACCTTGTGTTCAGCCTTCTGCTCCCTTCGCCTAATTTCATTACTTTACACTTTCCTGAGTTGAACTTTAGCAGCCATTTTCTAGACCATTCCTCCAGTTTGTCCAGGTTTGAGAGGAATGAGTCTATACCCTCTGGAAGGTCGTTTACATATATAAGAAACAGGATGGGTCCAAGTACAGAGCCCTGTGGTACTCTGCTGGTGACATCTCGCCACTCTGATGTCTCTCCCCTCACCGTTACTCGCTGTTTCCTGTTGCTTAGATACTCCCTTATCCACTGGAGCATTTTACCTTTTACTCTTGCCTCTTGCTCCAACTTTTGTAACAACCAAAGACTTTCTGACAGTCCAAGAAAATGCAGTCTGCATTCAGTCTGCAGTCTGTATGTGTGTGTGTGTGTGTGTGTACACACTAGGCACAGGAATGCCAGATAACAGCAAACGTTGCACAGGTTAATTATAACTATATATAAATACATGATTCTTAATTTGCACTTGTATATGTTGCAGTGGACGATGTTCTCGAGCCTGGGGGCGGTGATGTGCAGTGTGGTGTTCCTGGACCTGGCGGCCGGCAGCCACCCGCTGGGGCGGGTCACCATACGCCTGTGGGGCCGCCTGCGCCGAGCTCAGCACTTCCTGGGACTGTGTCTGGGCATCTGGGGAGCCACCTTCAAGGACTCCACCTTCACCCGCGTGCACGACACCCAGTTCTGCAGGTTCCTGGTGGGCGGGTCGTACAGGTCTGAGGGCAGCGGCGTCACCAGCACGGCAGGACTGATGGACAACCTGGAATGGGATGGCCAGTATGCCGGGGAGGACCTGGAAGGCCAGATCGTGTCGTTCGGCGGAGGCCATAAGCATCTGGATTCCGTGTTTGGGATTTGCGTGGAGGAGAAGGCGAAGGGAGGCCGCAGCCGGTGCCCCTTCGGCAAGGTGGTGTCGGGTCTAGCCATCCTGCAGAAGGCTGCCACCTACGTCCCTTCCTCCCAGATCTCCATCTCCCAGTGCGGCGTCGTCATCAATCTTGACGAGGTAATGAGCGACTGATATATTTAATACATTAGTCGCGGTCAAGCTTCTCTAAAACGAACCGAACAAAATATTCTTCATTTGACGGAAAACACTATTAAGAGTTTAATAGCTAAAGCAAACGGAGCCACAATATTGATACTTCGAAATCATATAAATTAGTAAAAGTGTAGTACAATACCTCGAGAAAATAATTAATGAACAATAAAAGTAAAGTGTGAGTGAAAGTTGGAAGTGAGAGCACAAGTAAGAGGTGTCTCAAGTAACCTCAGAAGCAACCTAATATCCCAGAGCCATCTTGAAGGTATCAGGAACCTTCAATACTGAGTCACATTCAAAAGTTTGTGTGTGTTAAGCTTTGATAAACATAATGTAACATCACACAGGATTTTGTTGGAGTCAAAACGACATACAAGACCACAGAGGAGAGGGTTATCTTGAGATGATTTCGGGGCATTAGTGTCCCCGCGGCCCGGTCCTCGACCAGGCCTCCACCCCCAGGAAGCAGCCCGTGACAGCTGACTAACACCCCAGGTACCTATTTTACTGCTAGGTAACAGGGCCATAGGGTGAAAGAAACTCTGCCCATTATTTCTCGCCGGCGCCCGGGATCGACCCCGTGACCACAGGATCACAAGTCCAGCGTGCTGTCCCCTTGGCCGACTGGCTGAGGGTTGCTCAGGAGATTAAACCAAAATGGATACTATTAGCTTAAGTATCTTTAAGCTCACCAAGACAATCCCACACAGTCTCAGCAGACACCACGCCACAACAACAACATATCCAACAACAGTTAAAAAGTTACTTAAATGATTTCAAAATTCGTACAAATATTGATCAAAATATACCCCTCGTACTCGGCTAAACTTAAGCTGTAGCGGAAATATCAGACAATGGGACATGTAGACATGTTAAATATCACGCCTACGAGACAACAAATATGGCGGTAGGAAATAAATGAATAACCACAACTCCCAAATGAGAGACTATGTTCCCCCACTCTCCCTCTCTTTGGTTTGGTGAGGCTTGGCAACCCCTGGAGGTTACTAAGGCAACCCCTTGGGGTTACTAAGGCAACCCCTTGGGGTTACTAAGGTAACCCCTTGGGGTTACTAAGGTAACCCCTTGGGGTTACTAAGGTAACCCCTTGTGGTTACTAAGGTAACCCCTTGGGGTTACTAAGGCAACCCCTGGAGGTTACTAAGGCAACCCCTTGGGGTTACTAAGGCAACCCCTTGGGGTTACTAAGGTAACCCCTTGGGGTTACTAAGGTAACCCCTTGGGGTTACTAAGGTAACCCCTTGGGGTTACTAAGGTAACCCCTTGGGGTTACTAAGGTAACCCCTTGGGGTTACTAAGGTAACCCCTTGGGGTTACTAAGGCAACCCCTGGAGGTTACTAAGGCAACCCCTTGGGGTTACTAAGGCAACCCCTTGGGGTTACTAAGGTAACCCCTTGGGGTTACTAAGGCAACCCCTGGAGGTTACTAAGGCAACCCCTTGGGGTTACTAAGGCAACCCCTTGGGGTTACTAAGGTAACCCCTTGGGGTTACTAAGGTAACCCCTTGGGGTTACTAAGGTAACCCCTTGGGGTTACTAAGGTAACCCCTTGGGGTTACTAAGGCAACCCCTGGTGGTTACTAAGGCAACCCCTGGTGGTTACTAAGGCAACCCCTGGTGGTTACTAAGGCAACCCCTGGTGGTTACTAAGGCAACCCCTGGTGGTTACTAAGGCAACCCCTGGTGGTTACTAAGGCAACCCCTGGGAGGGGGCGGGGGTTACTTAGGCCGTAATACTACTTTTACTTAATTTGGTCTGAGGACGGACTCACTGACCACCAAACAATGACAGTATACAGTGTGTGTGTGTATACATACACACCGTGGTACACCTCTGGGTGTATATCCCTCGTGACCCTGTGTATAGTGTATTCGTATTGTCACTTGTATGTTTACATCAATTACCGAAACTATAATTTTTTTCGAAAAAAAAAGCCTCTGGTGCAAGGTAACCTGTCGAGGCCTACAACACGAGAGGGTGAACTACAACATGAGAGGGTCAACTACAACACGAGAGAGGTCAACTACAACACGAGAGGGTCAACTACAACACTAGAGAGGTCAACTACAACACGAGAGGGTCAACTACAACACGAGAGGGTCAACTACAACACGAGAGGGGTCAACTACAACACGAGAGGGTGAACTACAACACGAGAGAGGTCAACTACAACACGAGAGGGGTCAACTACAACACGAAGGACACCTACAACACGAGAGGGTGAACTACACCACGAGAGGGTCAACTACAACACGAGAGGGTCAACTACAACACGAGAGGGGTCAACTACAACACGAGAGGGTCAACTACAACACGAGAGGGTCAACTACAACACGAGAGGGGTCAACTACAACACGAGAGGGTCAACTACAACACGAGAGGGTCAACTACAACACAAGAGGGTCAACTACAACACGAGAGGGTCAACTACAACACGAGAGGGGTCAACTACAACGCGAGAGGGTCAACTACAACACGAGAGGGACAACTACAACACGAGAGGGTCAACTACAACACGAGAGGGACAACTACAACACGAGAGGGTCAACTACAACACGAGAGGGACAACTACAACACGAGAGGGTCAACTACAACACGAGAGGGTCAACTACAACACGAGAGGGTCAACTACAACACGAGAGGGTCAACTACAACACGAGAGGGACAACTACAACACGAGAGGGTCAACTACAACACGAGAGGGGTCAACTACAACACGAGAAGGGTCAACTACAACACGAGAGGGACAACTACAACACGAGAGGGTCAACTACAACACAAGAGGGTCAACTACAACACGAGAGGGGTCAACTACAACACGAGAGGGTCAACTACAACACAAGAGGGTCAACTACAACACGAGAGGGTCAACTACAACACGAGAGGGTCAACTACAACACGAGAGGGACAACTACAACACGAGAGGGTCAACTACAACACGAGAGGGACAACTACAACACGAGAGGGTCAACTACAACACGAGAGGGGTCAACTACAACACGAGAAGGGTGAACTACAACACGAGAGGGACAACTACAACACGAGAGGGTCAACTACAACAGAAGAGGGTGAACTACAACACAAGAGGGACAACTACAACACGAGAGGGACAACTACAACACGAGAGGGTCAACTACAAGATTGTATGAAACATGAGATACAAGGGGCAAACTTCTGTCTCGGGTCTACAAAATGCTGTTGTAGTTCTCGGTACATTAACTCCCTCAGACGCCTCCTCCAAGGCACTCCAAGACGGCCATCAACTCCCTCGTTAAGACCTATCAACTCATCTATACGCCAACTCATCTATATCATGCCCTGAGGCCAGTCTGCAATGGGACCCATAGGAGGACGACTTGACTCCACCACTCTTTATATTATTATTATTATTATTATTATTATTATTATTATTATTATTATTATTATTATTATTATATAGCCTGCAACTGAAGATTTTATATACTTCTTTTGGTGAATACTTTGTAGAGGATATTATTAAAGTTTTACACTCTCTAGCAACTTTGGTTTCATCTCAGACGGATTAATCCCATTCATTAACAATATATTCAGATATCTGTGTTATGAGAATATTCTTTCTTATTCGCATTACATTATAATGGGTCTCAAGAAACAAATCACAATTGAGAAATATAGACCCTGCTGAGAGTAACATTTTCCAAGCCTAATTTAGCAGCCATATCTGATGAGAACTATTACCCCGGTGGGAGACGATGAGTCACAATAACCTGGCTGAATATCTTATTCTCACATTCATCTTATTCATATCTTATTCTTTCACTCATTCTATTCTTACCTTTCGCTTACCTGCTCCTCACCTCACTCTCTTAGCTTACATTTGCCTCTACCTTCCTCTCTGATTTTTACGGGTTATTCATGCCCGTGCCACCTCTTGCGTGGCTTAATCTTCATCAATCAACCTCTAATGAACAAATCCACAAAGGCTGTGACGAGGATTCGAGCCTACGTCCGAGAGCATCCCAGACGCTGCCTTAATCGACTGAGCTACGACATGGTAAAAGAGTTGAAACCAGAAGTTCTACTGAACAAACTTGGATCCTGCAGCCTCTCCGAGACACAAACCAGGGTTTTACACAGCTCCCCCGTGCACTCGAGCTACGTCAATAGGCCCTTGTCACGGCCCTTGTGGATTTGTTCATTTGGTGCATCACGCTATTGTGATTTCTGTGTGTAATGAAGTAAGGGCGAAGAGGTAGAACGGCCTATTGACATAGCTCGAGTGCACGGGGGAGCTGTGTAAAACCCTGGTTTGTGTCTCGGAGAGGCTGCAGGATCCAAGTTTGTTCAGTAGAACTTCTGGTTTCAACTCTTTTACCATGTCGTAGCTCAGTCGATTAAGGCAGCGTCTGGGATGCTCTCGGACGTAGGTTCGAATCCTTGTCACAGTTCTTGTGGATTTCTTCATTTGATGCATCACGCTATTGTGATTTCAGTGTGTAATCTAGATCAACTATCACACGGCTTGATAATGGTCCAGGACGGACCGAAGCGTCGTCATCTCTTCACTTTGTGGTGTGGTCGTCATCCAAGTGGGAATTAATTGGTAATAGTATATCAAGTATATGCATCAAGCAGATGTTAACATATTTTTAGGTCACCTGTTAATGACTCAACCACTCAATTCAGTTTGCGAACACCCGAGGTACACTGTATTACAGAAATTTAAATGATTTGACTATCTGTTGATAACGAGAATCGATGTAGTACGGTAGTTTTGTGATTTAATTGCGACATTTGAAAACATTTTTTATTTCATTAATTGTTTCCCTCTTACAACGTGAGTAATAAACTACTAGTATACCCTGACGGAGCTAAACAAAAGGACGCTAAACGAAACGAGATATAAAGGAGACATGATCTATACATATAAAATACACTGGGAAATCGATGAAATAGAGAGAATGCTGAGGTAGAGGAGTAGCACAAGGAGATGCCACGCATGCAGGCTGGACACGTAGGAGAGCCAGGGAGCCAGGGAGCCACCTTGGCGGCCAGCACAGGGAACCAGCTACACAAGGAGGACACATAAGGGCCGACCTCCAGCAATACTTTCAAAGGCACCTTCATATCAAGTTGCAGATGATGCAACACTGATGAGAAGAGTCAGGATGGATATGGATTGTGAGGCATTGATTGTGAGGCATTGCAGGATTTGGACATGCTCCAGAAGTGGTCTGAGAAAAGGCTGCTAGAATTTAACCCAGCCAAATGCAAAGTTATGAGGATTAGAACAGGATTGCGAAGGCCAGTGAAGCAGTATAGGATGACGGGAAGACAGATTCTTCAATCAGAAAATGATAAAGACCTGAGAGTGATTACCCCAAATCTGATGCCAGAAGCCCACATCAGCAGAATAACAACAGCTGCATACGGCATACTGGCCAACATCTGTGTATCCTTCAGAAACTTGGACAAAGGGGCTTTCCGGGCCCTATATACAACGAAGGTGAGACCCACTCTTGAATATGCATCCCCAGCATGGAACCCTTACCTAAAAAAGGACAAGGAGAAACTAGAAAAAGTCCAAAGATATGCAACGAGACTCGTTCCTGAGCTGAAGGGATTAAGCTATGAGGAAAGACTGATAGAACTGGACCTTACCACACTGGAGGAAAGGAGAGATAGGGAATATGATTACAACATATAAGATTCTAAGGGAAATTGATAAGGTAGACAAAGCAGCATTGTTCAAAGCTAGGAACAGCAGAACGAGGGGTCATAGATGGAAACTCGAGAAGCAAATGAGTGAGAGTAACATCAGAAAGAACCTTTTCAGTGTCAGAGTTGTCGATAAGTGGAATAGGTCAGATAGAAGTCGTTGAAGCTAGTTAGATTCAAAGTTTTATATGTAAATATGATAATAGTGTGAGAAACGAGTCATTGCATTAATCTAAGAACGTTCGGAAGGCTGGACAAGGAGCCAGGCTCGACCGTGCAAGCACATCTAGGTGCAGGAATTTGGGGTGACCGCACTTATACAGGCTGGCGTGTTTACGTGGGACCATATGGGTCACGCGCGGCGGCCTCCTGGACCATGTCACGCCGGTCCTGTTTATATTCAACTGTGTTCACCCCATATATCTTGAGTTGTTTTGGTTCAACACACTCGCGCACGCGCGTGCGAACCCATACACCACCACCACACACCATCACACTCACCACACACCACCACCACACACCACACACCACCCCACCATACACCAACACACCACCACCACACACACCACCACCACCACACACCACACACACAACACCACACACACCACCACTACACACCACACACCACCTGGTTGACCACCACCACACACCACCCACACACACCACACACAGCACACCACACGCCACACACCACCACCACACACCTGGTTGATGGGGTTCTGGGAGTTCTTCCACTCCCCAAGCCCGGCCCGAGGCCAAGCTTGACTTGTGAGAGTTTGGTCCACCAGGCTGTTGCTTGCAGCGGCCCGCAGGCCCACATACCCACCACAGCCCGGTTGGTCCGGCACTCCTTGGGGAAAATATCTAGTTTCCTCTCGAAGATGTCAACGGTTGTTCCGGCAATATTTCTTATGCTCGCGGGGAGTATGTTGAATAACCGCGGACCTCTGATGTTTATACAGTTCTCTCTAAGTTTTGCCTATGGTACCCATGCTCTTCATTGGTTCTATTCTGCATTTTCTTCCATGTCGTTCACCTCCAGTAAGTTGTTATTTTACTGTGAAGATTTGGGACCTGGCCCTCGTATTTTCCACGTGCATGTTATTTGATATCTCTCCCGTCGTCTTTCTAGCGAATACATTTGGAGAGCTTTGAGACGATCCCAATAATTTAGATGCTTTATCTCGTTTATGTATCCTGTATATGTTCTCTGTATTCCCTCTATTTCAGCAATCTCTCCTGCTCTGAAGGGGGAAGTGAGTACTGAGCAGTACTCAAGACGGGACAACACAAGTGACTTGAAGAGTACAGCCATTGTGATGGGATCCCTGGATTTGAAAGTTCTCATAATCCATCCTATCATTTCCCTGGCTGCCGCAATATTTGCTTGGTTATGCTCCCTAAAATTTAGGTCGTCAGACATCATTATTCCCAAATCCTTTACATGTTGCTTTCCTACTAAGGGCAAATTTGATTGCGCTTTGTACTCTGTATTATGTTTAAGGTACTCATTTTTACCGTATCTGAGTACCTGGAATTTATCGCTGTTAAACATAATGTTATTTTCTGCTGCCCAGTCGAAAACTTTATTAATATCTGCTTGTAGTTTTTCAGTATCTTCAGCAGAGGTAATTTTCATGCTAATTTTTGTGTCATCTGCAAATTATGATACGAAGCTGTACCTTGCATTTGAGTCTATATCTGATATGAGAATAAGGAAAAGCAGTGGTTCAAGGACTGTACCTTGAGGTACTGAGCTTTTAACTGCGCTTGGACTAGATTTTATATGGTTGACTGTTACTCTTTGTGTTCTGTTCGACAGAAAACCGAGTATCCAGCGTCCTACTTTACCAGTTATTACCATTGACCTCATTTTGTGTGCTATCACTCCATGGTTACATTTATCGAATGCCTTTGCGAAATCCGTGTATACCACATCTGCATTCTGTTTTCCTTCTAATGCCTCAGTGATTTTGTCATAATGGTCAAGTAGCTGTGAGAGGCATGATCTTCCTGCTCTAAATCCATGTTGGCCTAGATTGTGGAGGTCACTAGTTTCCATGAAACTAGTGACCTGACTCTCAAATACTTTTATTATGTTGGACGTTAG